CTTTGAAGAGTGTAATTTTTACATCTATAGAGCATCTCGCGAACCTGTGGGTCAGCAGGCAACTGTACGGTGGTGTTCAAGGCTCTATAAACTTTTCAACTGAATCCAAAGTGGCAGCATACGCGACTCCGTACACGACTAGACTTGTGCTTTGTACAGCAGAAGCAACTGTCCCGGTGTGAAGGCAACCGTTAGATCTGCAATGCGCAATTTAATTTAGGATAAACTCGCTAGACTTTATCAGTACTTCAATACAGATAAAATGGCTACCATTCATCCAATTATTAGTTCTATATACTGTTTCCGTATCCGACAAAGTCGTGCGTTTGGTTGTAAACGACACGCCTACTACTACACTACTACTTGTGATTTAAAGCTCTGAGTCGCATTACAACTATTATGGATAGGCATGTAGCTTACAAAAAAAAACTTATAATGTAAACTAATTTGTGACTTTAACTTCGCCTGCGTAGAATTGAGAGAATAATCGATGTTATCTACTTCTGTATCTATCGTGAAAGGTAGATGGGTGATACAGGAGTAAGTTCATGGTGTAGAGGCCTAGGTAAAGTCTAGCAGTAGATGACGATGGTGAGACGGAATACATAGAAAACAATCCGTTATAGTTCGATTAATTAACACTGTGCTGTCTTATTAGACCCTGTTTCGAGAAAAGCACAAAGTGTCGTATACTATTTAATAGACTTAAAAACTATACCATACATAAGAGTTTCCAAAAAAACTTGCATTTTCTGTTAATGTTTGATTCTAAAGTTTGATTTATAAAACATGTAAGATGTTGAGACAACATGTTTTATAAGCACGTGCACCTGCATTTTAGCTAGCCCCTTGACCACGGAGGCCAGGGTGTTGTATAACGTAGTAAATCAGCTACACCTAGATTGTAACACCACAGTATCGTTTCTATGAAGGTGGCATATCTACAAAGGTAAAACCCTCTTGAAAAAATAAAGAAATAAATAATAAAACATTATTTAGGAAATGAAACAATATTTGCGGATTTAAATTGCGTATATTTGTTTTTTTAAACAAACCGACGTTTCGGGCCCTTTACAGTTTGACTGAGTCAATCGTGACCATGGGACCTGTAAAGGGCCCGAAACGTCGGTTTGTTTGAAAAAACAAATATATGCGATTTAAATCCGGAAAAATAGTTTCATTTCTTATGTGTAACAATCGCGAAAACCTAAGAACTCGATATAAAACAAAATTTTTTTGAAGAGTGTATCAATAAAAACTTGTTTATTGTTGTACTAATGTGATGGGTTCAGAAATTTCTTACAACAGTTGGGTGATTTTTGCAGCTGTGAAAAAATTATACAACAGAAAAACTTTCAAGCTGCTTGGCTTTTTTTATACAAACATAAATCTCACACATAACCACCTAAATAATGCCTATTCACTTCCACCTTGAAAAGGTCCAAGTTACAGCGTTCGAGGAATATGTCCGCAGGCAGGGAATTACATTTAGTAGCCGCTCGCCATATAAATGTGGAAGCGAAACGCTTCTTGCGAATCCTAGGACAATACATGGGTGGCACCCTAGCCTACGTCTAGTCCCCCGATAATGGAAAGCGGAAGGCGGAATTAAATCATGCAATTCCATCGCACACTCTTCGTGATATATCCTGGTTTTAGGTTTAGTAACTTCGGCAGTTTGATTCATTTTATTGAGGATGTATCAATTGAGATCTTCACCATAAATGGGTGTTTTTTTCCGAAATTACAAATTATTACTTGTAAACGGGTAAGTAAACACTTTAAAACATGATAAAACGTCGAGGAATCTTCCACACGTTCTTTACATGCGATATGTGTTTTGTCTTGGTCAATAAGCCATGTTTAATGACTCTATATTTAAAACGCCATATTTCCTGAGTCGTAAATCAACTGCAATCGCACAAAACAAAATACCTCCAAGACATTGTTAAAAACGTCAAGTTCAAAAAATTTTGATCAAGACTCCTATTTGAAAATTCCCACTGGCTATCATTGGTTGATCACCTGCTGTGAACCGTACCGAGAGTCATAAAATTAGGTGAATTACTTTTTGGTAAGAAAGACAATGAGCCTATTCATGGTTCCGTGGGCCAACGTAATTACTTGGCATTAAATCGCAGCCTTGGTATGATAACGTCATGTCAAAAGTGCTTTTATCATACAAAAAGTTATCGACTAATTTGATTCGTAGCATTTTAAAACTTTTAACCGGGTTTCAACCCGACGCTATGTTAACGCTGGGTTTAAATCGGGTTAAAACGCATAAAATCGAGGGCAAAAACTATTTCAACAAAAAAATTATGTGTTGTGAATCGAGTTTTGTCCAAATGCCTTTCTATTGAATTAAAATATTTCATTGAAATAAATCGATACAACAAATCGTTAGATCGTATAAACAAGTAAATCGATTCAAGAGTCGATTTTCATAAAAATCTAATAGTAATGTGCGTCCTTAGCAGTGAGAATTCAGAGGCTTGCAAGGTACGATCGTACGACCTGTTAAATTAGTCTAAAAAAGATTTTTTACATCAAAATTTGTAACAAGTATGGCATTATACCAAATTCCGTATTCGCCGTTTCAGCTCACGATTTTGGGCAGAAATGGGTTAAACTTGGTTTGGAATGAAAACCCTGTTAAAATTCGAGCGGGTTGATTGGGTTTTAACCCACTGCCCTTCTGTGACTATATATATATCAAATTTTCTTGCAATTCCAGATGACATGATGATCAAAAAATTCCTGCACAGTTGCTACGGCAGCCTAGAAAGGACGAAGAAATGCATAGAGCGGTTTTGCACGACGCGGAGTAACATGCCCGAGGTGTACACTTGTCGAGATCCCACTTCGGACAAGATGAAAGATGCTTTCTCTATCACGTAAGTGTTCCTTTCTTATGTCAGGAATCTGCTCCTTTTTATTTGCTATAGAGCTCCTTGTGAAATAGGTTATCCAAGAACGTACTGCCACCATAACTATTTCTGTTGTAATGTTAGCTAAAGCTCACATTATTAAGGGTGCTGGCTGGTGTAACTTCAGGCAAATGGGACAGCCTGCTCAGGCAATGCCCCTTGGGTTTAAAGCTCTGACTGGTACCGCAACAGCGGACGCGTATCACTTACCACATATTAAAAAAAAATCATTGTATGGATCATCACCTATTGTTGTAATTTTTTTTTATTAAAACGTAAGCAGCCGTTTGACTTCCATGTCACTTGACGGAAAGTGACGGTGAACTCGATGATGGAGCATGAACAGTGCACACCTAAATAATGCCTATTCACTCTCGCCTTGAAAAGGCCAAGTTATACTATTCAGGGAACAACTGCAGGTAGGGAATTCTACGCCGTAGCCGTTCACCATATAAATGTAGAAGCGAAGCGCTTCATGCGAATTCTTGGAATATCCACAACACAGGGTGGAACCCCAGCCTACGTCAGGTCCATTGATGATGGAGAGTGGAAGTCGAAGTTAATTCCTACAATTCCCTTGCATACCCACCGTGATATATCCTGTAGTATACCGATAAGCAAGCGACTTTACGGCGGTGTCCATTGATAGAATGCAATAAAATCCAACCAACCAATCAAATTGTTTGAATTGTATGAAGAACAATCACATCCTTAAAGACCACGATTTAAATGGCGGTAGATACAGTTTAGTCATAATAAAGGTAGAATCATATTCTCACCTAAACATTTCTAATAAAAAATACTTGCGCATAAAATTGCTCACGAAATAAATAAGCAATTTAAATTGTGTAACAATACCCTATGAAATTTATGCACTGGGTACGTATGGGACAATGGCGACGTGGTGTCACCATATTTTATATCGAGAGGCCTATACCTGGCGCTGTCGACTATGTTTGGTCGTAGTTCATAATTGTTTCTCTCTTAACTTCCGCATATGCTAAACCGAAATAACTTGTTAGACCGAATAAACCTGTCCTCATAAATTCACGTCATACTTGTTATTGTTATGAATTACGATGACAACATGAGAACCAGTGCACGCCCTCATAGCCTAGGACTAGGGAAACCCTGTATCGCAGGTGCCAAGGACACACACATATAGACATCCACAATTTACACCCAAACTCACGAGAGAAATAAATGTAGCCCACAGAAATATTTCGATAATCGAACCCGGAACTTCTGCGTGGCAGTCCAGCATAGTAGCCGTTCGGCCACCGAGGTAGTTAAAATAACTTCTTTTGATAGATACTTAAATAAATAAAGCCATCTGCCAAACGCGATGGAAAAATTTTACGGATTGTAGAGTTCTATATATGCAGAATCATGGACAAATTGGTTTGGTACCTAATTCTGCTACAAAACAGAACCCCTGTACAACATAATCATAGACAAACGACGACCGCATTTATGCGAATATCTACTATATTAAGCAACGGTAGCCAATTTCCATTTTTTTATCAGATAAGTACAAAAAGTTACGTACTAAACAAAAAACAAACTTCGAACAAACAAGATTAAATAAATATGAACCAGTAACATGTTCTAAAAATGTGTGACAATTAAGGCATTCTACGACTTGCGTGACACATGTGCGTAGTCTTGTGGATTTATTTATATTTGAAAGTTCTGTTTTTATACATGTAGGGAGAACTTAAGTAAAATAATTAATAGATTAGAAGATTGACCATCAGAAGGAACACTTGATTGCTGATTTTACACCCTAAGAAAACAATATTTTTTTGGAAAACCATGTTGAGTAAACTATTGCATATCGACACATCCGTAGAACAAAGGTCTATGTGCAAGGCTACTTATTCTCAGGACATAGTACATTTCGTTCGTTCTTCTTCGCTGTGAATGTCAGATCGACTATTGTTCAATTTTATAATTTCCGAAACGAAACAAGATATATATATAGATATATATATAAATTCTCAAAACACCTTTACGTAGGCCTTAAGTTTGAATAATGAAATTATTCTGTAACGTACTTATTCTCTTTTCGCTATATAATCACATCGGACTCTGTTCTTCGGATGAGTCGATATTGCAGGCCGGGAGAATGTACAAGTACCTATAATGTCATCTAGTTATCGTCATTTAAAAGTCGTTGAGTCAAACGTGGAGACTGCTAAGTGATGTTAACTTGGTCGTATTGTGTGTTTTCGGGGAAACGAAGTCAATTTCGTCTCACTCCGTCTTTCTGAGACGTTTATCTTCAAAGTGAGACGTCATTTGTCCCCGTAACATCGCCGAATCTTGAAGGAGTTCAAGTTCGCTTAATATGACAAAAGTACTGTATATTACTTTTGTCATCTTTGGCACAGATCATCGCTGTGCCAGCTGGAGGCTCGAGAATTGGAATACAGAGACACGCCTCCAAAGCTTCGGACTATGTCTTCATGTTGCTTATTTTTCAGTGTTTTATAGGGCAGTTAGAAGAGTGTGCGTATGATTCAATCACGCCTGTTCCTTTTTGTGATCTGTCAACCGAATGTAAAGAAGGAGTACGAAGGCGGCTTCTCACGGACCGCGGTTCAGAGGCCTGAACGCGCACGTGCTAGGGACTAAACTCTTGACACACACCCGAATACACGCTGATACGCGCGTCGATACGGTTCCGCCCTAAGGCCCGACGCCCACTGACGGGACTACTGGTATGTCAGGGAATCCTTCAGCATCCCTACATACAAGCTCACACTAATGGCAATTATGCCGCGGTATCCCTAGGTAAAACGCGGCATCCTTGAGCATGCCGAAGCATACTGTCGCGACATCGTGCTCGCGCCTCTTGGTCTCTCTTCAGATCAGTCTTGTCGTGCGTGCCCCCCCTCGCAAACCCGCATAGTCGCACTCGACCTTCCGAAGCATCCCCAAGACTACCTAGGAATTACAGACACTGCCGGCTCGACATCTCTACTCTAAACATACCGCAGCTTTATTTTGCGGCTACGATTACTATCATTGAAATTGTAACTATAATGTCATAATCTTAAGTTATATTACTATTCATTACCTAAAAACTCTTTGCCGTCCCGTCCCGTCCCGTCAGTGGGCGCCAGGCAGTACTCGCCCGTGGCGCGGGCTCGCCCTTTCGAATCCGCGGCGCGGAGCGGCCTTTGAAACCACGGGCCGTCGAAAGCCAGAAAATATGCCAAGTAGCACGAAGCGTTGCGCTTCTATAATATTTGTTATTCTTACAGCTAAAAGGAGAATCCTTTACAGTGTTCCGCATTATCTGAATGATACATAAGCACATATGTTGAGTGTGCGTTGTTATTGTTACATTTTCCGTCTGGCAACATAGTTATTGCCGTACAATGTTGCTTATTTGTTAAAATACCCGTGTTGAGATTACAATGGGCTGTAATTATGGCGCTATAAATATTTTATATGGAATTTAAATTGCGGGGGAAATGTACACGAAGACCCTCAAGAAACACTTTCAAGTACACTCGAATCAAAATTCATTTTCAAGGCATTTTCTTAAATAAACGTCATAATAAGGCTAAGGCTATAGTTACAAATAACTTTACCAAAATTTTCACGTATTTGAACATGGTTTATAATACCAAAGGTTAGATTTTCAACGAAAATTTACCGATGTGATATGTGATCGGCTCTTTCTTACTATCTTTCAAATCGAAACACAGTAGAGCTGCAAAAAATCCGTTGAAGTCTAATAATACAAGTTGAGGTTTAAGTAATATCTTTTGTTACATGAAAAGTTCCAAGTATAGTGTCCATTAGACTTTACTTTCGTATAAAAATAAAAATATTTACGAGAGAGGCGGTCGTCAGTGACGTCTGCACTTTTGAACTTATTACTTTAGTACCAAACAAATCTAAAAAGCGTCTGATAGTACAACAAAGACTTAAAAGTATACTTTTGTTAAATTTATTACGTTTCTTAAAAAGTCATGGGACAAAAGTTGTTATTTATGATGTTAGTAATATAGCCCAGCGATCTTGTTAGTGTTTTACAAATAACCCTGTATATCTGGGGGTAGTTCCTATCCACCTGGGTTCTGCACCAAGAACCAAAGTCAAGTCAATGCCACATAATCATTTATTCCATAGGTAATTTTTTTAGCTCACTACGCTCGCCTCTCTGAGAAGAACGAGTAAGAAACTCAAGGGATTGTTCTTTTCAAATAAACTTAAATGCTATGGAATTCACTTTCAATCACAATTGTGTCGAATCTACACTCACATTGCCTTTCTATACATTTTCGTCTAACAAATACTCTTCAATTTTGTGATTTGACTTTTCAATTAAAATACTTTTAATGTAAGTTTTAAACTTAGAAAATGATAATCTTTATATATACTCCGGAATCTTATTGTAAAAACGTATACTGTTCCCAATAAAATTTTTTAGTTTACTTGGTTAAACGACATTGTGGTACCATGAGTTAGGATTTAGTTCTAAGGTTAATATTATATATATCTTCTTTCTTATCGAGTTCTTAGGTTTTCGCGATTGTTACACATAGGAAATGAAACTATTTTTCCGGATTTAAATCGCGTATATTTGTTTTTTCAAACAAACCGACGTTTCGGGCCCTTTACAGTCCCATGGTCACGGTTGACTCAGTCAAACTGTTAGTCAATAGTTTCATTTCCTAAATAATGTTTTATTATTTATTTCTTTATTTTTTCAAGAGGGTTTTACCTTTGTAGATATGCCACCTTCTTCTCTAATATTCTTTCTTAATCAAATTATGTATATTTTTACGCGCATACAAGAATCGCTCATTTTTGCAACACAAGTATGGTTTGTATATATGCCGCTTTACCCCACATGACAATCCCGTAGAATGTCCTACGGGACACTACGGGATACTATGGAAATAACTAAAGTAAACTAGTCTAGCAGTAACAACATCGGTAAGCCCACGTATTCTACGGACTACGTATGCAACGGAGCTTAATTTGCTGGCTAAGGGAGAACCTTATCGCCATTTTTATTTCTTCACAAATTTCAAACGGTGTTGTTTCGCGTCTTTGCGATTGTTTAAAGTTCCGTCTCAACTCTTCTAGAAACGTGTCGACGTATCTCGCCGGCGACAACGAGCTCCTGATCCATCAGTTAAATGATCCAGAATTAGAGAAATTCAACTACTACGACGTGTTGAAGTCTTTCGCCATTCAAGCTGACTATTGGCTCAAAGTTCACGAAGTTTTTCCCGAAGGGCATATAATTATCCTTGATATCAAAGATTATACGCTAAAAATTCTACCAAAGATCAATGTACTGTTTTTTAAGGATTTTCTACTGTTTCTGTTGGTAAGTTCATAATTAATTTATTAATCGCTGCATGGGGATTGACAAAGGTGTTGCATAAAATACAATATACACATGCACATGAACGCTGTAAGGGCACTACAATGACTATAATTTAATTAATTATTAATTTCCTATTCAATTTAAGAATAATTAAGAAAAAAAATGGTCACAGTTGACACCTGGGACCTGTAAAGGGCCCGAAACGTTGGTTTTTTTGAAAAAACAAATATACGCGATTTAAATCCGGAAAAATTGTATCATTTCGATTTATGAAATAAACTGCCTCCATGGCCGAACGGTTACCACACTGGGTTGCTACACAGAGGTCCCGGGTTCGATTCCCGGGCCGGGAGAAATATTTTAACCGAGCTCAAAACTCAATTTTGGCCTATTATTAATGATCTGGATTACACTAACATGTGGTTTCAACAATACAGTGCCACAAGTCACACAGCCACCGAAACAATGAATTTATTGCAAACCAAATTTATTTTATTCGCATAATTTCACGAAATTCAGCCGTTAAGTGGCGAGCTTGATCATGTGATTTAACACCGCTGGGTTATTTTTTACGGGGTTATGTTAAAGACAGAGTCTTTACGGAGCCAATCGAAGTGATTAACGAAAAAGATCCACCATTTTGTCAAAAAGTGATTAAAAACTTTGTTGAAAGAATCGTCTTCTGTGATTGCGGGCGTGGTGGACATTTATCAGGTATCATTTTTCATCCATAATTGCCAAACCTTATTTTTTTTAATACAATAAAAATTTGAATCGTTGTCATCTAAATTTATTGTTTTATTTGATTCACAAAACAAAGTTCTTGTTGAAAAATCCTTTAAATGTCAAGAATTATAAAAAGTTTCTATGAAGTTGAGATATTTTTTAACCACTGACGCAAAAAGACGGCAATTATATTATTTCTTTTGTGTTATATTCTAGGAAGGCATGCCGGTGCGAGTGAAGGGGGTACACGTGATCAACTGCCCGTCGTACTATGAAATGTTATACGGTTTGGTCAAGCCAGTACTGCCTGCTGATATCCGGAGCTTGGTAAGAATCATTTACTCTGTAACATATGACAAAAGTTTCCGTTATGCCGTTCCGTTATTTATCAACCGGAGTTGATAAACAAAATTTGCCTTTCACGAGGTTTAAAACTATAGTGAAACAAAAACTTTATACTAAAGGTTATCATATAACTTCTGCGTGCTTGGATGACAAAAATCCATGGTAGTAACCCGTTTAGCTCATGAAGGTAGTGTTGATCTCTGATGTTTGAAAGCAAAAAAAAATATTGTAAATGTTGAATGCGTACAAATGTTATTTACAAAGAGCAACCCCTAGAGTTTCTTGTTCAATCTTCTCAGGGGAATTTTCCTTAGGTATGAGCGGTAGTTTAACCAATGTGTGACGATTTCAAGTGTAATAATGCTTACCTATGAAATAAAGATTATTTTGGTTTTGATTTATGACAAATGAGTTGGCTGTGTAGTATATGCCACCATTTGCCTTTATAAGGATGAATTAACATAACTACTTGACAAACATTGTCTTTGAATAATAGCAATGAAAGGAGATCCGCCAAAATGACCCCAGGCCCGGCGCCAAAATAATGTAACTCAGTTTTTAGAGTAAAAATAGCAATAATATTATATAGTTTCGGTATTGCTAAATTCACATGCTAACATAGTTTTTTTGCCTGTTGAATTTTCATGGGCGCTTTATGAAAAATTCTATTTATTAGAGAAGCGTCGTCCTTTTTAGTTCATTAACATTGTAATAAATAATTATGGCATATAAGCATGTATATCAATCATATTATTATTATTATTATTATTAAATGAAACTCAACTCACTACAGAAGAGGCCAACAAATCACGACTAATAACCATGTGTCGTTGGGTTGTAGAAACTGTGAATGGCAAGTTTAAAAATAGCTTTAAAATCTTCCGCAACAGAATGTTTAACAATACCTTGATGAAAACATTCACAGATTTCAAAATAGCAGCGGCTTTGATAAACTGCTTTCAGGAGCCTTACGAAGACAGTAGATTTACTGATGATTTTATTGCATCAATAAACCGCAACATACATAAAACAAATCTGTTGGCCGCGTATGTTTTAGAAAACAACTTGAACAGGCAAAGAGCATCATTTACTAGATTGGACGCAAACAATCCAGAAGTATCAGATTTTCCGGAGCTGACGTACGAAGATCTGATAAAATTCGCTATAGGCACATATCACCTCAAAATAGCATGTTCGTACTGCAGCGAACACACGAAGAGAACTGGCGTATATGAAATCGAGGTTTACAGACACTCAGAACAAATAGATATAATAAATGATCGAGTTATAAGGTCACAGTCGCATACAAACAACGTACTGATTCGCTGCAGAATTAATTCACGTCATGTCAGATCAAAAACTTATTATACCTATTTGTTATTTAATACTGCGGTTTTTGGAATCGAGGCAGTGAAAGAACATTACTGTTCCTGTTATCACGGGAACAGAACACTGAGAAGTTGCGCCCATGTAATAAGCGTCATGTACTATTTGGGTTGGGCTAGACACAATGAACGTGATTTAGACCACCCAGCTCTAGGCTTAGATTTTGTATTAGTTGATTTAGAAAACTAAGTCCATCAAATGTATATTCTGTCGAGAAAATGAAAATATATATTATTTTATAACCATACTAAGTGTTTTATTTTACACATAGTTTCGAACATCTAATTTATTTTTTCATAGTTCACAGTACAGTACATACATGCTTATATGCCATAATGACTAATTACAAGATTAATGAACTAAAAATGACGACGTTTCTCTAAAAAATATAATTTTACAAAGAGCCCCTATTAAAATTCAACGGGCAAAAAGACAATGTTAGCATGTGAATTTAGCAATACCGAAACTATATAATATTTTTGCTATTTTTACTCTAAAAATTGAGTTACATTATTTTGGCGCCGGGCCTGGGGTAATTTTGTATGGGATTTGGCGGATCTCCTTTGTTCCTTCTTCAGAACGTTTGTTCTCAAAAGCAGGCAATACAATATCAAAAACGAGAAAGTCTGTTACCAAATAGATTTTGTTTTTAAGTGATTATACAGATGAAGAAATTTATGTAACACAAATTATGTGAAATGACGATTGATTGATTTGATCAATTTATCGATTTAATCAATCTTTTATTATTTGTATAAAATAAAATACTTATTAATTCAAGTGTTTTATTCTTTACGTGAGGAATATTTGCAGGCTACGTTTATGACTACGATACTTTTACGCGATTCTACTCATGACCACAATATCGATACTTTTGATTCTATACCGTGTCTCTAGGTGCAACAGGTATTACAATAGAACAGTTTAACGCACAGAGGGAAACAACTCCCCTAGACAACAAGTTAAGGAAGTCCCATACACCGTTCTAAATAGGAAACGACTCTGCAACCGTTAAATGTACAATATCCTTAACCAGCGATAGGTCCTAAGGAAGCAGTACTAGATGCGTACAAGGTATGTAGTAGGCTCCTCTTATTGTGCTCAAATGGCCGACTGTGGTCTTTCCTCGAGGGAAAATGTTAACACCGCGATGCAGAATTTGCGATGTCGACGCCAATGCCTTGTAGTGGTGTGCGGTGGAACTAATTTGTGTTGTTGCATGATATGTGATTTTGTTACACTATTATATAATATCGATACCTCCAATGTACACTACTCCAACTTATTTTTGGTCATTTTCCGGTATTTTTGAAAACAGCCTACTTATTAACGAATTTTGTGAAAAAAAGAAACAAAAACAGTACCTATTCATAAAAAAACAAAAAACGGATTTTGTAAAAAAAGAAAAACAAGTTGGCGTAGCGCTCATTGGCGGTATCGATATTGTAGCGACTGTCCGGAACAGGAGCAGCACCAGCTGATACACCTTTTGCCTACTGTTAATGTTTATTTAGTATCTTAAGTGGAATTTTTTATGATACCAAGTGACGGGACAAACAAGTCGTGCGCCTGCTGGTAAGCGACACGTCCATCCATGACAGTTGCAGTGCCACTGAGAGCTTTAAACCTCAAAGATTTTAGGGGCACTGCCACTGCGCCCGTTACCCTGAGACATAAGTTGACAAGTCCTTGGTTAATAGTAATTAAAGCTCTGGGTGCACTACAACTGCTGTGGGTAGGCGTGATGCTTATCATTGGACGCACGACATGGTTCGTCTCATCACAAAAATTAATTATGATTTAAGAATTTTTGTACAATGTATATGTCAGTTCCATCGTATCCAAAACTATAACCCAGGTACACGTCTAGCGGGCGCTTCTGGGGAGCCGATTCAACAAATAGTAACAGTCCTTTTGCCTGTTTCGTGTGAGGATTACCGTCCGCTGTTGCTCGTGCGGGACTTATTCCATTAACAAGTAATATGCATCTACCACTACTCCACATGACTCGCAATTATCATCGTCAAAGACAGGGTTATTGTAACGACAAAAAATTAATTCCGCTTTGCAGATACAGTTTCACGGAACACCCGAAGGAGTGCATAAGCACATCGATCCGAAGTACATCCCCGAGGAGTATGGCGGCAGTGCCTCCAGTATGACGGAACAGCACAATTCATGGGTCAGGGACATACAGAAAAACAGGTATGTCTTATATAAACAATAATTAAGTAGGAAAATTATCGATATTATCTTCTTCATACTATCGTCTTCAAGAATCGGATTCTCAATATAGGATTTCAATGTAGAGCTAGCAAGGGCTTGGATAGTGTGCTGAGCAATCATGACCTGGATGTTGATATATTTAATTGTAACGTTGATTCTCTAAAGCGTAAACTCATGGACATTCTATTTAATTTTATCGAATAAGAAATGAAACTATTTTTCCGGATTTAAATCGCGTATATTTGTTTTTTCAAACAAACCGACGTTTCGGGCCCTTTACAGGTCTCATGGTCACGGTTGACTGAGGTCGTACAGTCAGTGTAAACTACTGTAATATTAGACATAACTGGTTGAAGACTGTAACACCTCAGTCAATTGTGACCATGGGACCTGTAAAGGGCCCGAAACGTCGGTTTGTTTGAAAAAACAAATATACGCGATTTAAATCCGGAAAAATAGTTTCATTTCCTATGTGTAACAATCGCGAAAACCTAAGAACTCCATAT